TTCGATCCTCGCGGTGTCTTTGGGTAAATTGAATGTATTGTAACGAAAGCGGAGCGACGCTGGCGTCAAGGTGATGGCAAAATGAATCTGATAATGACTCAACAGTTACGAATATGTTATCCAAAAAAACTGTTCATATAAATGGACTTAAGATTGGAGAGCGGCAGAATTGCTTCTATGTGGGACACCTTGTTTCTGTGAAAAAAGAAAGGGTAAGAATGACATGCGGCTTCTTTTGAAGATCGAAAATGTTCCTGTTTAAGTAGTTACCTGTGTGCTTTAAACTGAAGGTTAGTGCCGACCAGCGCTGACGTATGGCTGCAAGACATGGAACCCAAGCATGAAGGCTCTTCTGATACTACAAACTACGCCGCGCGACAGAAGTGCTTACGTCAGGATTAGCAGAGAAAAATAAAGGATGAAAAAGTTCATGAGAGCACTGGCAGTGGTTTGCCATGTCATTTCGAAAACTACAATTTGAAATGGTAATGACATGTGTTGGATCAAAGAAATATTCGGCGGAGTTGTGTGAGATAGTCAACGGGAAATACGAACCGCCGGATCGAGTCAAGAATTTGAGTGATGCGAATAAGACTTGCGAAGGAGAGTTTTGTACAAATATTCGTCGAATAGCCGATCGAAAAAGGTTGATAGGGCTAACTGCATGGTTAACGCACGGAAATTAAAGGGCGAATAGTAGCATTTTATTAAATCAACGTCTGTAACTCGATCAGTACTGCAGACGATATTTAATAAAATGTAAAATGTTATTTGTATCAGCCTTGTGGAACAGTGACAGAAGTAATGAACATGTTACGTTTTGGCATAAACCGCAGTAACTGTTGCCTACATTTATCTATGTATTCAGTATTTATTTTGAGTTGGCCTTCAAGCATGTGTTTTTTGTTTGTCATTTTAGAGCAACCTGAAAACCCAGTGTTGCTTTCATAATACTCTAAAAGGAAGGTGGCAGGCTAAAGCAGGGGGCGACTCTTCTAGTGGTGTTTTAAGAGCGTAAATCAGCCGAATGAATTTTACTTTACGCAGATTTTGACCCATTTGACGATATACGTTCTGAGTATCAGATTTAATTGCTCCTTGAATATGTTTGTGAAGCTTCTGTTAATCATGCTGCAATTTAGACTGTGGGATATATGAAACTTTCGGCAATTCATCTTTCGTCCGATGCCATCATCAGTCACTATCAGGTATGCCTTGTTGATTCTTCTGAAGGTGCGGTTGTACTTATATAACGTCAGGTTATAACGTCAGGTTAATTTTATCGATATTGTTGTTGTGATTGTTATTGTCACTGACTGACATTGACCAGCAGAACTGTTCGTGTTGATTTGTCTGAACAGCTTGAAATAATGCTCCAGAGTGGTTGACGTTTGCGTCAAACAGCTTCTGCAGGGGCAAAACGGTAATGCAGTTAAACCTGAACTGAAAACAGAAAAATGTATAAAAACTTTATTTATACGTAGCGCAAGCAAACAGCCTGGTCATTCGGATGATTGACCAGTACCGACGCTTGGTCTGTTTCGAATGGGTCTTCTGCAGGGTGGTTCCGGGTTTATTTTGGCAGTTGTTTCTGTCGTCCGTAGTTATTGTGAAACTTGGAACATAGCTACCCTTTGTACTTATCTCTAATTACCCAATCCTGCGAAAATGTCAATCAACACAAGGGATACGTACTTTACACGGATTGGACGATCCGTATGAAGCCTGTGTCCTGGAAAACTACTTAACCAGGCACACGGGCCCATACGTTTGGCTGTAAGTGTCACAGCAGTTGCGGATCACAGAAAGAACTGCCTAAATCAACTCGGGCAACCCTGAAGAAGGCTCGTGAGAGACGAGCCGAAACGTTGGTACTGGTTAATCATCCGTTGGACCAACTTGTTTGTTTACTTGCGTTGTGTATAAATAAACCGTTTTATACATTTTTCACTATGATCACCAACGCATGAACAAATTACTCAATCTACATCCGCTGATATCATGATTGACATCACTAGGAACGAAAACATTTATTCGCAAAATTATTATTGTTAATTATGTACCACCTATCCGAAGTTTTGACTGAACGGGCATCGGTCACGCGAGTTTTCTCCCTGCTTCCGATCTTCTAATCGACGAAACTTCGCTCCTTTTTCGACATTCGGTATCGATAGGTATCGCCAAAGGCAACGGCCTTGGACAAAGCTTCGGCTCATTTCAAAGGTCTAGGAGTTTGGTTATTATGTGAGGTCGTACTGTCGGCTGAAACAGTTATTTTGATATCTGGGAAAGAAAGGTACGGAACGGCTGACTTCACTGAGGTTTCGTGGTGATGTGTTAGATGCTGGGTAGCATGGTCGTAAGAGTGAAATTGTT